CTACTACTACTACTACTACTACTACTATTACTACTACTACTACTACTACTACTACTACTACTACTACTACTACTACTACTACCACGACTACGACTACTACTACTACTACTACTACTACTACTACTACTACTACTACTGCTACGCCTACTATCCAACCATAACAACATCATCATCATCAGCATCATCAGCATCACCATCGGCATCACCATCATCATAATCAGCAGCAGCAGCAGCCGCATCATCATCAGCATCATCAGCTGCACAATCATCATCATCATTGGCATCATCGTCATCATCATCAACATCATCATCTTCATCATCCGCATCAGCATCAGCATCCTCAGCATCAGCAGCATCAGCATCAGCATCATCGTCGTCATCAGCATCAACAGCAGCATCATCATCAGCATCATCACCATCCTCATCAGCATCATCAGCATCATCAGCATCAGCAGCATCAGCAGCATCAGCATTATCATAAGCATCATCATCGTCATCATCAACAGTATCATCAGCATCAGCAGGATCATCATCCTCACCATCACCATCAGCATCAGCATAAAATCATCATCATAGTCCTTATCAGCATCATCAGCATCATCAGCAGCAGCAGCAGCATCAGCATCGTCATCATCATCAGCAGCAGCACTATCAGCATCATCAGCATCAACATCACCATCATCTGCAGCATCAGCTCCTTAAGTCCTCATCCTCCACCTGCTCCTCCTCCTCCTCCTCCTCCTCCTCGTCCTCATCCTGCTCCTCCTCCTCCTCCTCCTCCTCCTCCTCCTCCTCCTCCTCCTCGTCGCCCTTGAGAGGGCAATAAGCTACCGAACAGCCGCTGCTCCGCGGATCTCTTCAGAGGCGTGCTGTGACCAGGGCCTCGAGGCGACTCTGGCCGTGGCGGCGAGGGAAGGGCTGATGCCATCGGTACGGCAAGCTCGCGTCGCGACGACCCCGGCGCTGTTTTCTGACACCGCGCCGATCGCTCGACCTTGAACGATCGGTCGATCGCCTGATCGTTCCATAGAGACCGATTCCGGGCCACTGGTTACCAGCCTGGAACATATCCCTATCCCTGTGCTGGGCACCTCCTCGTCACGATGCCAATCTTAGGGATTCCCTTCTTGTTTGACGGCGGATCCCTAAGCTTGTCATCGCCTTTTGGCGTGTCAGTCTTAAGGCTAGGGATAAGTTCGAGGCTGGCAAACTGGCGGCGCTCCGCCTCGAACTCCCGCGGCGGGGTCGCCGCCGCGCCGGCACGACGCGCTGCGGACCTGCAGCAGACCTGCGCCAGCCCCTGCTGGCGGGAAGGAGAAGGACGAGGCCGCATCTCGAGGGCCGAAAAAACTTGACGATGGAGGCTCTCTGTTTTTGACCGCTTTGGGTTCTTGTTGGCCTCACTCGCCATCGCTCGGACGTCCATTCCGTGTGTTTTTTCCGGTGTCGTGCGTGGTTTTTGTCGCCAGATGGTCAAGGATGCTCCTCGATGGTCCTCGCCGAAGGAAAAAGGCACACGTCTGAGCGATGCCACGAACTTGACGATGGAGGATCTCTGTTTTTTTGACCGCGTGGGGTTCTTGTTGGCCCCAGCGTCGCCACGGCTGGGTCCGCCTCAGAAAAGTGTGGTCCGAGCGAGGTCCCAAGAGGGACCCGGGCGGTGGCTTTTGACCCTGTCGCTTCGCGAACGGAAACTCACGACGCGCGGACTCTGCAACGTTTCGGCCTACGGGGGGGGGGGGCCCTCGCCGGGCCACAGGGCCCGTCCAACAACGGCACGGTGTGAAACGCCAGTCCCGGGGAAGGGGTCCATATATCTGGGTGTCCACAACGTGCATCAAGAATGGCAGCTGCCTGAGGAGGCAGCGGGGGGTCCTCCTGGATGGGATCGTGAGCTCCCGCGAGAGCTCCTCAGAAGGGCGGCGGCGGCCCTGATTGGAGGCAAGGGAGTGTGGCATTCTGAGAAAACAGAGCGGGCCTCTGGGGGGGATTCAGAGGGCGGAGGGAGCCAGAAGGCAGTGGATGCTTCTTGGAGGCGGTCGGACCCAGACCTCCGACGCCTTGATTTTTTCAACCCGGGGGCCCTGGGACTGCCCACGACTTCCTGGGACCATTCTTTCGTCTCAGGAGCGGAGCCCGAGAAGAACGGGCTCCCGACGCGGAGAACCATCAAAACCTCCGTCATGACTTGTCCAAAAAAGAACGCCTCCTAGATGGGGTCCGGGTAGATGGGGTCGAAGGATCGCGCCGTATCGGCGATGCATCGGCGACGTCGGCGTGGGGAAACACGGGCTCAAGGTCGAGCCGCATTGTCGATGCATCGGCGATGCGGCGCGGTCCTCCGATCCCATCTACTCGGGCCCCATCTACGGGGGCCTGGATGAAGACGCTGAGGTTCAGGGAGGCCGCCTGAAAAAGCTTCTCAGGAGGCGGGCGGCCGTCTGATGAGGACGGCCGCTCCCCGTCGCGTCACATCCCCCTGGCGCACCACCGACCTGGCCACAGGCCCCTCTGGCCAAGGATGGGTTGGCTTGTAGAGCGCGGTGCTCCTCCTCCTCCTCCTCCTCGCCCTCCTCCTCCTCCTCCTCCTCCTCCTCCTCCTCCTCCTCCTCCTCCTCCTCCTCCTCCTCCTCTTCCACCTCCTCGTCATCATCATCATCAGCATCATCACCAATATCATCATAATCCTCATCATCACCATCATCATCATCATCATCATCATCATCATCATCATCATCATCATCATCATCATCATCGTCATCAGCATCAGCATCAGCATCAGCATCATCAGCATCAGCATCAGCATCAGCAGCATCATCATCGTCATCATCGTCATCATCGTCGTCGTCATCATGAGCAGCAGCATCATCAGCATCAGCATCAGCATCAGCACCAGCATCCATATCAGCATCAGCAGCATCAGCAGCATCAGCAGCATCATCAACAGCACCATCAGAAGCATCATCATAATTACCATCATCATCAGCAGCATCATCATCAGCAGCAGCATCATCTTATTTGTCCTCCTCCTCCTGCTCCTCCTCCCCCTGCTCCTCATCCTGCTCCTCCTCATCCTGCTCCTCCTCATCCTGCTCCTCCTCATCCTGCTCCTGCTCCTCATCCTGCTCCTCCTCATCCTGTTCCTCCTGCTCCTCCTCCTCCTCCTCCTGCTCCTGCTCCTCATCCTCCTCCGCCTCCTCGTCGTCCTTGAGGACGGGTTGGTTTGCAGAGCGCGGTGCCCTCGAGGCCGCGAGGCCGGGAGAAATACCCTGGTGCCTCGCACGGGCGGCCCGGGCCGGCCACCGGGGTCGTGCGGGCTTGGCACGAGCGCGGGCTGACGAGGACACCAGCCCCGAGCCCAGGGTTGACCTGCCCACGGAAACGGAGAGAAGCGACACCACCACCACCACCACCTCCTAAGAGGGTGGTGGATAGGGGAGGAGGTGGATGAGATTGCGAAGTGGGATAACAGGAGGAAGAGGAGGACGAGGAGGAGGAAGAGGAGGAGGAGGACCAGTGTTAGCGAGGAGCCGGTGAGGGTCCTCCTGGTGGTGTGGTGTCCCTGTTCGGGGGGCTCCCCGCTCGAGACGTGTCCAGCTGATCCACGAAGAGGTGGCCCTCATGTTACCACGCCTGCTCGTGAAAGCAGAGATCGTGGTGCGGCTCCCGGTGGCGGTCGCAATTATGGATCGTGGTGGCACTTGCTGTCGTGAGGGCATCTTCTGCACACATCAACCCAACACACAACTGCGACGCCGATCAGCAGAAGGGACCCTGGGATCCGACGGTCGCCGCAGTCGCTCCAGAAGTGCTGCTCGTCATGTGGTACGCGATTTGATGTTACCCGATCTGGCAATCTTAACGATTCGGAAGCTAGGGTGAGATGAGCCGATTGAAACAAACCAATCATGAAGGCGTGCTTTCATGGACGCATTGGCAACGGTCACGATTATGGCAGCAAACCTGATGATGATTCTTGCCATGGCAGGGCTGGCAAGAGCGGCATAAAGCCACCGACAACGGCCACGGTACGGTCGGGAACTTTTTTGCGAAGCGTGTCGCGGCGGCGGCCCGAGCGAACTGCGAGCGGACAGCGAGTCGCTCTGGCCTGCGGGGCGGGGGGCCGGGACAAGCGCGGGGCCTGGACGCTCGGGGACCCGAATGTGGACAGCGTGTCTCGCCGAAGCGTGGTGGGCCCAAACCGGCGGAGCGCGCGCTCACCAAAAGTTCCCGACCGTAGCTACAGCAGTGGCGGCTGTGGCCACGACACTGGCCTGGATGCTGGCCTTCAGCTGGCTGTTCACGGCCTGCGGGGGTGCGAGGAGACGGCACGGGACATCACCCTCTCCACCGCGACTTCAGGGATCATATCGGTCTGCAGTCGGGCAGATAGCACGAACATCAGAGCGGCGGCGAAAAGGCACTACTACCGTGCCGTGGGCACGGAACGGGGTGTCCAGAGATCCCGTCGAGCTCTCTGCATCGAACACTGCAGGTGGCCTCTAAATGTAAGGGGTCCAGGGCCCGGCGCTCCGGAAGCCACGCGCCGTCTTCGGGCGGCTCGCACGACTTCCCATGGCGTCGAAAATCAGTGAGCATGCAATGAGCCTCAGTATGTCGTTCAAGGTGATCGGTGCCAAAGGGGGGCAAGCGGAGTGGCCTTTGGAGCTGCACGGTGGCGGGATGGGCCAGAGGTCCCTGGATCTGCTTTGGGTGCGAGTTTGGTGTAAAACGGTATTGATATTACGAGAGTGCACATCCACTCATTAACACGCGAAGCACGCGTGCGCTTCGCACCTACGTACGCTCTCATCGAAAGCCAACGCGCGCTTCCCGCGCGGCTGCCTCATCCTGCTCGCACTGCTCCCCCTCCCCATCATCCTCCTCACACTTCTCATCGTCATCTTCCTCCTCACTTGGGGGCACGCAAACATGGATCAGCGATCCATGGATTTGGCGCGCGGTCGGCAAATCCATGGATCGGGGGAAGTGCCCTCCCCAAAATGCGGCGGCGGACATCCGCGATTGCAAATGGAAACGAGACCCGTCGCTAATCCACGCCCCCTTGATCCATATTTGCGATCTCCTGACCGTCTCATCGTCATCTTCCTCCTTACCCCCGTCCCCTCATCTTCCTCCTCCCTGTCTCATCATCCGCGTCCCCCCCCCCGCCATTGTCGTCCTTGTCTGCTCCTCCTCCTCCTTCTTGTCCTCCTCCTCCTCCTCGGCCCCGTACCCTCCTCTGCCCACTCACGCTCCTCATACTCCTCATCCTCGACCTAGCTGGACTGTGATCAAAGACTTCGCAACCGATGCTCGATTGCGTGCCTGCATGCTTCCATACTTAATTGTTTGCTTCCTGACTTGCTCGCCGTCTTGACTCCTTGATCGCGTGTTTCCCTGCATGTCCGCCAGGCTACTTTATTGTTCGATTGTTGCGCTCAGTGTTTACATGATTACTGTGCTGGCTGCTGCGTTCTTCATTGCTGGGTTGATTGAGTACTTGCGCGCTCGCCGCCCGCCTTGCCTGCGCGTCGGTACGTGTTTGCGTGTTTGCCAAAGTGTTCCCATGCTTACTTGGCGGGTAGTTTGATTAAACCTGTCCCGGTTACTTCATTGCATAAATGATCACTTGGTTGCTGAACTGGCTGCTTCTTTGATTACGCGCGCTCACATCGCACATGATGCTTGCTTGATTGTACTCGCACGGAGTGCTGACTTGACTACCTCGTTGGCTGGCAACGCTGCTGTCTTCATATGTTTGCTTGCCACGCTGGAGTGCGACTGGTCGATTGTTGTTCCTAGCTTCGAAACGCAGCTTGAGTACGTAGGTGCGCACCCAGATTCGCACGCGTATATGCCTACACCTATGCCACAATACGCGCGTTAGACCTTGCAAGAGTTGACCCCAAGGCGTATGTTACTCCCATCCTACTTAAAGACCACATCCCAGGAACAATTTCGAGCACCTGGAAAAGTGTCAAAAGAATGTCGAAACAGTGTCGAAACATTGTCGGGTGAGTGTCTCCCAGGGCCCGACACGTGAAAACCCTTGAGTTTCGGTACTTTTGGGGGCGCTCGAAATTCTTCCTGGTGATCAAGGCTAAAGTAGGTTGGAACATCAGAACCCAAGGCTCTCAAACGACGTGTCCGACCATCACACCAGAGCTGGAAGGTCGGACCCAGGCCGGGTTTCTGCCTGCTCGCGCACTCTTAGGAGGGGAGGCACGCCGGGCCGACATGCTCAAAACGCAAACTGACCCTGGACGCTGTCCTTTCGCTCGGGCTGTCACCCTTGGAACGAGACTGCCCAGCCGATGTAGAATCCCACCAGCCCTCTGGGCGTCGGTGGTTTAGAGAGTTTCCTCTTCCACCCCTCCTTCTTCCCCTTCGGGGAGGGGTTTATCACTGTTCCCTATGAATAAACACCCCCTCCCCCAGGCGACTGGGGGCCAACCCAGGTCCATGCCGACCCCCCACACACACCATCCCTTGCAAAAAACAATACAAACACACACTCTGCCTCCAAATTCGGAACATGCGCAGCCAACCCGATGCGGCCCCCCACCCACCACACTTGTCAAAAAACAATACAGAGTACACTTGGCGGAGGCGGCGGCTGCGGAGGCTGCGGCGGCGGCTGCGGCGGCGGCGGCGGCGGCGGCTGCGGCGGCGGCGGCGGGGGCGGCGGCGGCGGAGGCGGCGGCGGCGGCTGCGCGGCGGCGGCGGTAGCGGTGGCGGCAACGGCTGCGGCGGCGGCGGCGGTTTGGCAGCGGGGGGCGGCGGCGGCAGCGGCGGCGGCGGCGGCGGCGGTGGCGGCGGCGGCGGCGGCGGCGGCGGCGGATTGGCCCCCAGTAGCTGCCCATCCAATGACGACTGCTGAATATGCTGAGCCTCGGGACAGACTCGGGTACGTATGTGTTGGGAGGGCGGGTGGGAGTGAGCGAGACGGCTTGCGGGCGGGGAGGGGGTCCCCTCCCCCTACCCCCTCCCCTGGACCTGGACGGGGAAGTCGCGAGGTGTCAGGGCGTCCAAAACGGCCTCGGCGAGAAAGCTGTCACCCTTGGAACGAGATTGCCCAGCCGATCTAGAATTTCAGAGCCTCTGCGCCAGTGCAAGTTACCCCCCCCCGCTGGGGCACCGTCGTACTTTTCCGCCGGCGGCTGGGCAGAGGGGTGACTGGCATGAACGGGGGTACCGTGGGGCCGAATTGTGCAACCGTGCAGGAGCTGGAGGGACGAGGGACGCTGCCGAAGGAAGGAAAAAAGGAAAGGAAAGGGCGGGCGGCTCAGGGGTCAGAACGCTCAGAGTGCGAGGCGGTGGTTTATCCACATCCACCGCCTGGGAACCGACGTCCTGGTGTCCCAGCGAGCGGTGGATATGGATATATTTGTTGGCCCCCGGGAGCCCGAATCTATCCATGTCCACACCGCCTGCCGAGGTCCCCGAAAATGGATCCTCCAGGCGGTGGTCGTGTATCAATTCCCGCCTCGGACGGGAACGTCGCCCGGGACCCCCGAGTCTCCGCACGAGGCCTGCGAGAGCCACGCCGTGCCTTGCCAGGCCGCACTGCCACGCTCGGGAGGCAGCCCGGCGAATACCTGCACACGGCTCCTGCGGAAGCCGCGGGGAACCTCGGGCGCAGCATGGTCACCGAGCTCTCGGGAGACGGCCAGGGTGCGCCCGGGAGTGGGGAAGCGAAGACCTGCCGATGCCGCTACTCTCAGGTCGGGCATGTCCCCCCACGGGCGGATCTTGACCGCAACATGAGAAATGCCCCAAGACTTTTCAACAATGGTCTGAAAACACTTTTGACAAAATCGTCCCCTGACCACGACTTGACTGTTCCTCCTGTAGCGAGGCAGGCCCGACTTAACGCTACTCCCCGGACCTCTTCTGGGGTGCGTGCTGGCCCGAATCCCGAAGAGGATCCAGCCGCAGCGTTTGGGGCACTCCAGGCCCGGAAGTACGAGGGAGGACGACGCGGAGGAGGGGCGCCAGAGGGTGACGCCCCCCGTCGGGGGAGGCGCCCCCCCCCCCGCAGTGCCCGACGCAGTGCCGACCGAGGCCAGCTGGGGGCGACAAGCCTCTGCGGCCTTAGCATTAGGTCGAGCGTGTCCTCCTATAGGCAGATTTTGGACGAAAAATAGCATAGCAAAAGATATTCAAACAGAGCCAAAAATATTCAAACAAAACGTCCCCCGTCTCGTTTTTGACTGTTTGGATATTCCCCCTTGTAGAGGGACACGCCCGACTCACCTTAGCGGCCAGGTGCACGCGGATCTGGATGAGACGAGCCCCTCGGGACCTCTCGAGCTCTGTCGGGGGCCAGCCCTTCACCCTGGGTCGTTCGATGATACGGTGATGGCATTACACAAGGAAACCTTCGATGAGACATCCAGGGTCTGGAAGCCAGTGGAAAGCCAATCGTGGATTGGCCATGGATATCACCGCCGCCCTCATCAGACAAGGAACCCTCCAGGGTCTGAAGCCTCCCGGGCACATTCCTTAACGAACGCCCCCAAGGGCCCGCACAGGGCCGTCTGGATGCTTCACGAGCCGCCAGGGGCGTTTTGGGGGGGGGGCACGAGAGCACCCACACGATACCGCGACTCCGCTTATGACCAGACCTGAGAACCAGCCGTGGCGACAAGAGCTCCCCAAGGACTCAGAGACAAGCAGCGGGATCGGTACCTTCCTCCTCTGGCGTTGCAGGTCCCTGAACGTCCGGGCCCTTCCCCGGGGGCCAGGTTTCCATCCCGAGTTGTGCTTTGACCGTGCCGGGGCCCAGCGAGGGCCACTGGAGGCCGAAGACGGCCAAAACCATTCCGTCGTGATCTCGGTCACGGCGCGAGGAGACGTCTCGTACCGATGCCTCTGCTCCCCGGGGCCTCTCTCGGGGTGCGCTCTGACCACCATTTCGTGGCGCATCCGGCCGTGGCGACGAGGGCCTCCCAGGAGGCCCAAACAGGCGAACACGAGGGACGGGCGCCCAGAGGAGCAGTGGGAGGAGGAGGAGGAGGAGGAGGAGGAGGAGGAGGGGGAGGAGGGGGAGGAGGAGGAGGAGGAGGAGGAGGAGGGGGAGGAGGGGGAGGAGGGGAGGAGGGGGGAGGAGGGGGAGGGGGAGGGGGGAGGAGGAGGAGGAGGGGGAGGAGGAGGGGGGAGGGAGGAGGAGGGGGGAGGAGGGGAGGGGGGAGGAGGGGAGGAGGAGGAGGACGAGGGTACACCACTACGGTGGGGACCGTTTGCTTGGCGTGTCGCGGCGGCGGCCCGGGCGACGCGCTACATGCCCTGCGAGCGGATACAGCGTGTCGCTCCGCTCCGCAGGGCGGGAGGCAGGGAAAGGCTTGGAACGTGGACGGGGACCGAGAAGTGGTTAGCGTGCCGCGCCGAAGCGTGGTGGGCCGGAACCGACGGCGCGACACGTTAAGCCAAAGTTCTCAACCGCAAGCGCGGTCGGGAACCAACACGGGGTGCCTCCACCAGGAAAAAATAGTCCTACATTCCAGCCGGAAGCCCGAACATGATCACCATTACCGAGATCGGCATCATCCTCCCTCGGTGGAGGCACACTGTCGATAGTGGGGAAACCAAAAGGTACCGATACCGATACTCTCCGCACCTCCCCCAGGGTGCGCTCTGATACCAGGACTTCGAGGCGAATCCAGCGGCGGCGACGAGGGCCTCCCAGGCGGCCCAAAACGTGGAAAACGAGGGAAGGGAAGCGGCATTGGTGGGCCTGCGTTCCACTCGCCGCTGTCGATCAGCGGCGGCTGGCCTGTGGTAGTGCCTTGCTGCGCGAGGCGCCGGCCGCTCCGGACAAACCACTACCACAGGTCAGCAGCCCACATGCCTGCAGTGGTAGTCGTGGAGAACGGGCCTGCGAGGCATGGAGGAGGAGGAGCAGGAGGAGGAGGAGGAGGAGGAGGAGGAGGAGGAGGAGGAGGAGGAGGAGGGGTACCTTCCCCATCGCCGAGATGTCGGTCCGACCCCCGGAGGCCCCCGATGCCGCGCGCCGTCGGGGGCGCGCCCGGGCGCCGCCGCCGCGGGGCCTCCACGAAGGCGCCCTGCTGCCCGCGCAGCTCGCCGCCCAGGGCGCGGAGCTCCTCGCGGAGGCCCTCGGCCTCGCTCGCCTGGCGCTCGCGGGCGGCCTGGAGCTCGGAGCCCATGGCGGCCTCTCGTGGGGCGCAGGATGGTGGCAGGTCACTGCAGATGCCCCGGGCCCGAGGTGCCCCCAGCCTCTCGCTCAGTTCCTGGGGGCCCCATGTGTCCTGCCGGGCCTCGTGGGGGGTGCTCTGAAGACCGTGGGGGGCCTCCTTGGAGACCCTGGGGGCACCCCGGGCCAGGGGCGCGCGCAGCAACGCTCGGGATGGCATGTTGGCGCCGTGCGTCCGCCGTGGGTCGAGGGCCGGAGGCATGCACGAACAGGAGTCTTCTCGGAGCTCCTCCGCGGACTGCTCGGATCGGCGCGGGGCACCCCTCCCTCCAAAGGCGAGCGGAGCGCGCCAGGGGCGGCGCCGGAGGCGCCGCCAGGGGGGTCCAGCGCCGATCCAAGAAATCAGCGCGGGCCTCCCAGACTGCATGCTTGTGGCTTGTGGTACTGGTTGCTCCTCGATTGGAGGCGCACGTCCGACACGAACATGTAATGCACAAGTCTTGCAGCACATCGTTTCCCGAGCGGTATGGCCAGAGCCAGACAGCGCCCGCCACGCAGCTCATGCCACAATCATGTCGGGCATGTCCCCCTGCAGGCGGGTTCAGGAGGAGAACTGAACAGAGTCAGACCAATACTCCAACGATATCCCCAAAATAGTCCAACAGATCGTCCCTAGACCACCTTGTTGACTGATCGTTGATCACTCCTCCTGTAGAGGGAACTGCCCGACGAACTGCTACAAGGCTTCCGAGCGTGCGCGGCGCCCCTGCGGGGCCGACGCACCCGAAAAAGCGGGCGTGCCTGGGCGAGGCCGACCTCTCGGGGCACACACGGCAGGGCACCGAGGCGAGCGAGCACCCCGGGGGGGATCCTGGCACCTCCCTGCCCTGAGGCACCGGCCCTCTGAGGCCGCCGGCGGGGCCGGCCGCGCCACGCGCTCCGGGCGTGGCCCGTCCCCCTTGAGCGGCCTCGCTCCCCTCCCGCCCCCTCTCTGTCGGCCGCTGCCTCTGCCCTGCCCCCCCCGCTCCTCCCTGCCCTGGTGGCACACGCCTCGCTGCGCAAGGGCGCCCCCCGTTCAGGTAATTAGCCCCTTCCGCCAGCGCAGAGGCTTCCCCTGCCTCGCCGCCGACACAAAGCAACAACTGTCTTGAGGAAGCGCGATCCACCGTCGCCGGCCTGACAAATTGCTATAATATACATATATGTATAATAAATAAATGAATAAATACATAAATGAATAAATACATAAATAAATAAATAAATAATTAAATGAATGAATACATAAATAAATAAATAAATAAATAAATAAAAAATAGACAAATAAATAAACATATAAATAAAACAATACATAAATAAATAAATAAATAGATAAATAAATAAATATGTCAGGGGTTCAGAAACTAGGGGGGGGGCCCGCCCCCCCTTTACAGAAGGGGATCCCCCAGAACCAAATTCTAGATATGCGAAGGGATCCGGAGGAGGGGGCGCCCCACCCCCTGATAAAAATAACTGGGGGGGGTGGCGTCAAAGCCCAAGGGACCCCTCTCTCCGCCCCCAACCCAACCGCCCCAAACCCCTACGAGAACCGGAAGGTCCGGACCCCCCCCCCAACACCGCCCCTGGGACACAAATTATTGGGAGGGCCCCCCCCCCGTGAAAATGATCAGAAGTCTTCCCCCCCCCTCCCCCTCTGCCGCCGCCGCCGGCAGACGACGACGACGACAGCGACGTCGGCCGATGACGCCGCCGACGCCGACGCCGACGCCGACGCCGACGCCGACGATGACGACGACAACGACGACGACGACGACGACGACGACGACGACGACGACGACGATGGACGACGACGGACGACGACGACGGACGACGACGGCGGACGACGATGGACGACGACGACGTCGACGCCGACGACAACGACAACGACAACGACGACAACGACTAAGGCAGTGACAACGACGACGACGACGACGAAGACGACGAAGACGACGACGACGACGACGACGACGACGACGACGACGACGACGAGGACGCATACGACGACACCGACGACGGCGGCAATGTCAGCGGCGGCGGCGTCACCCCCAGCGCAAGCGCACGCGCGCCGAGCTAAACGAGATTACGCCAGACTGGGCTGGCCTTCGACCACGGACATACACCAGCGCCGATACTGGACTCCACCTCCCAGGAGCTGCATCCTGAGTGCTAACTACACCTGATCGTGAACCACCGCGACGGTAGGCAGGTGCTTAGTGGGCCCTGGAAACGACAGGGCCGTTTTTGTTACCGGTTCCGTTTTGCCGTTTTTCTGCCGGTTCCGTCGCCGTGTTCTTGCCGGTTCCGTCGCCGTTTTTTTACGGGTTCCCGCTCCGGCTCCAATCCTGGAGCCGTTTTTGTTGCCGTTTCCGGTCGCCGCTTTTTTTTCCGTTCCCATTTTCAAAGGGCCCTTTTTCGGGAACGGTGAGAAAACGGCCCTGCCGTTTCCGGGGCCCACTACTCGCCATCGCTCGGACGTCCATTCCCTGTGCTTTTTTCGGTTTCGTGCGTGTTTTTTTCGCCAAATGATCCAGGATGCTCCTCGGTGGTCCTCGCCGAAAGAAAAATGCACACGTCCGGGCGATGCCAAGACTAAGGGCAGGAGGGGTGGCGGCCGCAGGGGCGAGGCGGCGCCTGCAGCGCCTCCACCTCGGAGCCCAGCGCCGTGCGCTGGGTCCTCAGGGCCTTCAGGGCGTCCACCAGCTGGCCTCGAGCGCCGCCCCCCGGGGTGCTCGGGGGCCTGTGCACCCAGGGGGGTACCAGCCTCGAACTTATCCCTATTCCTGGATGGACAGACCTCCCTTTGGTAAAACGTGGTGTAGTGAAAACGACCTGAGGCCCAAACCTGGCGGGCGCGAGCCTCGAAAATAACGGCCGCGGCGCCCTCTCGAGAACCGAAAAAGGACAATTCACTAATCGACGTGTCACTGTTGGGGGTTCTGTCCACCCCCGACCTATCCCCAAGACTGACACGCCAAAAGGCGACGACAATCTTAGGGAGCCGCCCTCAAAAAAGAAGGTAACCCCTAGGATTGGCATCCTGATGAGGAGGTGCCCAGCACAGGGATACTCCAGATTTCGTAATAAAAGGGAGGGGGTCTGGACCCTCCAAGACAAGCCATTTCAGACCTCCCCCGTGGGAGAACCCTCCAAAACATCGTCCCCAGACCCCCCAGGCCCTCCAAGATAACTAGCCTGGAAGAGACCCCCCCCCCGAAATGAGACCCCCCTCCCTTTCTCACGAAATCTGGAGTAGGGAGATGTTCCAGGCTGGCAAGGGGGGGCCCGAGCTGGAGCGAATCACCAAACGGGACCAGAGCGAAAACGCCTCGCATCGCACGCGAGCCGCCGCGCACATCAGCTCGGGAGGTCGGCCCGCCGCGCCCGGCCCGATCCCTGGCCGGCCACGGCCGCTGCCGGTGACGTCGAGCCGCATCGATATCGGAGCGGGTCGGAGCCGGAAGCGCGGCCCCGGCCGGCACATCGCCTCGCATCATCTGCTCTGTCTGGCGCCCGATCCTTGGCCGGCCACGGCCGCTGCCGGTGCAGTCGAGCCGCATCGCGGAGCGGGTCGGAGCCGGACTCGCGGCCCCGGCCGGCACATCGCCTTTGCATCGAGCCGGATCGGAGGCGGCTCAATCTGAGGTCTCCACTGGATCTGTCTGCTCTTTCTTCTCTCTCTCTCTCTCTCTCTGCTCTAGTTGGCTTGTCTTGCTGCTCTGTTTGATCTATCTGTAGGCGGCTCTGGCTGGCGGGGGGCCGAAGACTGCCAGGCCACCCCCTTCGCAGGACGCCCCTGGGCGAGAAGGCTGCCGACGGCACGCCACGCGACCGCGCGGCGAGGCGCACTCTGAGCAGGCCACTCGCGGGGTGGCCACTCGACGCCCGGAAACGAAGGCATCTGGCGAAGCGGAACGACGCTTATAGAGGAACAAACACACACGCACACACACACACACACACACACATATATATATATATATAAACATAAACTGTTGGAGGTCCGAGCAGATTTCTTGCATCCGCGCCGGACCCCGTCCCTGGCGCGCGGAGCGCGCCAGGGCGGTGCCGGAGGCGCCGCCAGGGGGGTCCAGCGCGGATGCCAGAAATCCGCGCGGACCTCCGAGCATTTACGCTTGTGTCATCCTTCGTTCCCATAGCGAAAGCGACTGAGGACTGCGCCGGCAAACTCGAACGCCAGTGTCGAGCGAACGGGCGTAGGTAGCCCAGGGGCCAGAGCGGGCGCAAGCCGTGGGCACCTCGGGCAGAAATGGCGCCAGAGACGCCCACGCAGGCACAAGCAGATCAACACGAATTCCAGGATTCCCCCAGATGTGTTTGTTCCCTCTTTTGGGGGGGGGAGGGAGAAGATGGGACTCCACGGAGTTGTGCAGTATGCCACGGCTTCTCTCGGCCTCCCCTCTCCTTCCCGCAGTTACTTATTTTCTTACATGCCAGTGCACATCGCTGCTCTTCGTGCCTGCCTGTTCTCCCCTCCTGCGTGCCCGCGACCGCGGCGGGCCGCGGCGCCGGGCTCGGGCGCGCGCCCTTCGTGGCGGCGGTGTCGGACGCGGCCTCGCGCTGCAGCCCGTCCGCGGCGAGCTGCTGCTCCTGCCGCCGCGGGTGCGCATGGAGGCGGCGCAGGGGGCACCCTCCTCCTCCTCCTCCTCCTCCTCCTCCTCCTCCTCCTCCTCCTCCGCCTCCTCCTCCTCCTCCTCCTTCTCCTCCTTCTCCTCCTCCTCCTCCTCCTCCTACTCCTCCTTTGCGCGCGGGAGCCAGCTGGGCCACCTCAGTCGGGCGGGTGGTAATCCCCCAGGGGGCGTCGGACGCCCAGAAGACCGCCGTCTTGGGGCGTCGGGAAGCCGAGAAGAGGAGAACCCCCAAATTCACCAAAAACAAACAGAAAATCGATGATGTTTGCCTCTTGGGGCGTTCTTGGGAGGTCTCTTGGGACGTTTTGGAGCGATCTGTGGGGGTATGACGGCTTCTTCGGGGTCGCACGGTGGGGTGACCCACATGGGGGGGTGAACAAAAGTGCCCTCATTAGGGCCCTTTAGGGCCCCATCTGGGCACCAACTGGCTCCAAAAGGGGGCCTGACGGGCCCCTTGACACCTCGAGGGCCCTTTTCTTCACCCCCCATGTGGGCCACCCCCCAGTAATACAAGATGACGATCAATGAAAAAAATGGGAGAGAACGATTAAAGAAATAGTCTTCTGCTGTTTCTGCACAATTTTCTGACTGGAGGAGAACGATAAAAAAATAGTTTTCCAGCCCGCGGCCGGTTTTTTCTAGTCGTCATTCCGGGCGCCGCCGCGTGAACACGACCCCCGGTCATGTATTAATCGTCATCCTCCAGTACCACCCGCCCGACTGAGGTGGCCCAGCACTGGCTCTGGTCAGCAGGAAGTGCGGGCAGGTTTGGGTTCGGGAAGGTGTCGGGCCTCTTCCGCCTCCAGGGGCCGTTCTGGGGTCCCTGGAGCGTCAGAACTAGATCCCCGGAGCGAAAAACTGCACCAGACGGACCGATTTTGAGCCTCGCCCCCCCCCCTCCTGACCGTGCGTCTGGGGTCCCAACCAGTTCATACCCCCCCGCCGCCTCCAACGCAGAGGGCACTTGCGCACGCCCACCACGCCTGTCAAGGGCGATGCTGGGTCCCAGGATAGTCCATCAGGGCGAGAATTACGTCATGACGCGTTTGGCTCAAGGTAGAGTCCTCGAGCTCCAGGGAGCACCTGGCGTTCGGGCGTCCCTCGTTTCTGGAGCCCGTGCGGAATGAGGGGATCTGAACGATGCTGGGGACCTTGGATTTCTATTTCGTCGCAACGCGGCAGAGACAATCAGCACGGGCGCTCGAGATGTCGGGGACATGCGGCTACCTGGCTATAAGAGAGGGCGCACGGGAGGAGAAGCAGCCGGAGAGGACAGGAAGGAGGAGGAGGAGGAGGAGGAGGAGGGCACTCACGGCTGACAGCGCTTCAGGATGAGCGCGCTGGAGCGGAAGCTGGGGCTGAAGCGACCTGGCAGTGGACGCGGGACGGCATCACGGCCAAACCCAGGGGCCGAAGCCAGGATCTTGGAAACCTGGAGCGTACCAGCACCATGCCCTCTTGCCGCTCTGCTTGGAAGCCCCCGCGCGGTCTCGGCCAGGAGGGCGAGATGCACCCACGAACGGGGCCCGAAGGGCGTCCCTGGCCCTACGCGTGCCCTTGGAGTGCGGGCGCGTGCCTCCTGCGGAGCAGACCGCTTCGGGGGCGTCCAAGAGGGGGGGGGGCGTCCGAGAGGGGGGCACGAAGATCACGGCCCGAGGCACGTGCGCGGCTCATCGGGGGGGGGGGGCAGGGGACGCACGGAAGCAGGGAGAGGTGCCATGACATCTGCGGAGATAGCATGGCCCCCGCCATGATGTCCCCCCGCCCCCCACTCTTCGTCACCCCCCTCTTTGCCGCCCCCGACCTCTGGAACTCCCTGCCTGCAGGGGCTTCAGCAGTCCCCTGGGGTCCCAGCTCCAGTCCTGAGGCGCAGCCAGAACGAGGACAATTTCGGATAAATCAGAAGTGGCCCAGGGACACACAAATAGATAGGCACGACTCCCAGAATTCCCCAGACTCCCAATATGTTCTGCCTGCTCGTCTTCCCCTTCACTTCCCGTGCTTCCCATATTTCCCTGGGAATCGATGATTCTGTGTGTCTAATGTGTGTGCTTCCCCCGCCGGAATCAGGCAGGAGTCCCTGGTAGCTGGCGGGTCCGGAGGCTGCACCGGGCGGGCCTCGGCCGAGTCGTGCCGCTCCGGAACGCTCTCGGAGCATTCGGTTGATCCTCATCCCAGGCCTGCGCCCTGCGAGGCAGCGAGCGCAGTAAACCTCGAGATCCGCCCGCCCCCTGGGGGGCGCTCGGCTCTGAAGGCGCTTGCTGCACCAAGTGTCCTGCTGTCATTCTGCTGTCTTCTGTCGTGTCCTTTGTCTCTCCTGTCTGCTCTTTACAGCCTACCACAGGGCCCGCGGCGTCCAGTGAAGCCACCTGGGGAGGGGGTCCTCCGAGTTCCTAGCCGCATCGGGGTTGCTGAAAGGTTCCCATCGGATGCCAGCGCAGGGTCAGGAGCCGAGAGGCCTCGCAGACGGCTCCAGGAGGCTCTGGAGAGCGTCATCAAAGGCCCACGACAGCCCAAGAGAGCCCCAAGACGCCCCAAAACGGCCTCAAGATGCTCAAAGAGGGCAACGAAAGGATCTCCAAGAGGGCATCCAAGAAGGTCTCCGGAGACCAAAACTCATTGACGTCAACTGCGTTTCTTAATTCTTTCTGAGCCCTCGCCGTATCAGGCTCTTTCGGCCCGCACACACCTCACAAGCTCCGTGTCCCCACAACAGGGAGCCGAGGGTGGCAAACGGCTCCACAACACCGAGCCGCTAGATCTCTGGGAGGCAGAGGAGGACAGAGGAAGGCAGGAGGAGGGGCGAGGCTGGCGGAGGCGAAAGAGAGGAGGCGGAGGCGGCAGAGGCCCACACCCGACGCACAGGAAAAGAGGCCTCCTAGATGGGGTCGGAGTAGATGGTGTCGGAAGATCTCGCCGCATCGCCCATGCACTGGCGACGTCGGCGATACATCTGCGACTTCGGCGTGGAGCGTCGGGCACCACATCGAGCCGCACCGCCGATGCATCGGCGAGGCATCGGCGATGCGGAGAGATCCTCCGAGCCCCCATCCACACGTCGTTCATTTCTGATCGTGCTCATTTCCAATTGTGCTCGCTTCTGATCGCTCCTGGCCCCCTATAGTGGCCAGGAAGAGGCCCAGGATAGAACGATTGGAAGCGAGAGGACTTTGGCCCCCCCCCCCAAAAAAAAACGAAGAACCTTCGAAGAACTAGAGATGCGCAACGCCTGCTCCGACCCCATCCATGCTGCAGGAGGCCCAGAGGGAGGCCCGGCGCCCGCGCGGGAAGCGCACGGGCCCGGCCCCGGGGACGCCCACGCGGCCCGCTGCGCGCGGGCGCTCGCCGGAGGAGAGCGGCCCCGGACCCCCGCCGTCGTGGTCTGCGCCGCGGCGCGTCGATGCCCACAGGCGAGCGCGCTCCACGGCTCGCAGAGTACTCCAGATTTCGTGAGAAAGGGAGGGGGGTCTCATTTCGGGGGGGGTCTCTTTCCAGGCTATCTTGGAGGGCCTGGGGGGTCTGGGGACGATGTTTTGGAGGGTTCTCCCACGGGGGAGGTCTGAAATGGCTTGTCTTGGAGGGTCCAGACCCCCTCCCTTTTATTACGAAATCTGGAGTAACTGCTCGCAAATGGCCTGGATACGCCGCAGGGGATCTAAGAGGAATTACAGCAGAGCCGGCATGCGTTTCTCGGACGTTTGGTTTGCGAGCAGGCACTCTACGAGTGTAGTGGAGCGCGCTCGGCGACCCCAGAGATCTGGACCCCGTCCCCAGGACCGGGTTTTCATCCCGAGTCCTATGCTGCCCCCGTCGTGCTGAAGGACCACCTCCGAGAGACAGGCTCGAGCCCCCGGAAGAGCGTCGAAAGAGTGTCGAGGCGGTGTCGAAACAGTGCCCCGGACGAGTGTCTTCTCCCGGGGCCCGGCGCGCGAAAGCCCTCGACGTTCGGCACTCTCTCTCTCTCCTGGTGCTCGACCTTCTCCCTGGTGAGCACGGCTACAGTATAGGCCGGAACACCACGTACTGAGCCGCTGGCTGACGGCCCCGAGGCCCGGGCGGGGGGGCCCCGGGAGAGGCCGAGAAGCTGGCGAGGAGCCGCCCGTCGGGAAGGTGCTTCGCCCTCGCACCGCGAGGAGGGGGCCTGGGACGCGGGGCTTCGGCCGGGCATGTCCTCCCACGGGCGGATCTGGGAGGAAGAACGAGCTACACAAGTGGCAGAAAAAGACTCAAACGTGGTCGCAACCAGACAGCAGAATCGTGCCCAGACGATTGTTCTGGCTACTTCTGAACACTCCCCCTGCAGGAGGACACGCCCGGCTCGACGCCGGGCTGCGCTGCGCCCCCGGCCCTGCGCAGAGCGCGAGAGGCGCGAGCGCCTCCGCGCCCCCTCGCGCCGCACCCCCGGGGCCTGCGGAGCGCAGGGGTGGCGCGAGTCCCCTGCGGGCGCCCTGGCAGAACCGAGGGGCCAAGGATGCGCCAAGGGGCCCAGGGTTGAGCAGGGACCGACCGTCCCGGCATTCCTGTAGTCCTGCCACGAAATGCTCTTCGAACCCCAAAGTGCTCTGAGAGCAAAAGCCATGTTCTTAGAACACCAACCCTATGCGTTAAAACAAGACAGGCTCAGCCAGGAATGTTCGGAAACAAGTTCGTGGAAACCACAAATTGTTCTTAGAACATTGTTTGGTAGGCCTATAGGCGAGCCAGGACGCTTCGCCACTGCTTGACAGGGGCACACAAGGAAATGCGCACAGATCCCAGCATTCCGCGTAGGGGTACTCTGGGCTTCTGAGCAAGCGTGGGGGGGTACCCCCCCACGACGGGGGTCAACCTCGCCTCGTCGTCGCGCCGCGACGGGGGGTCGGAGCGCCTTCGGCGCGCGGTGGCTGCCCGCGGCAGCGGTCGATGCGGGGCTGTCGGCGAGGGTGACGGCGAGGGTGACGCCCCCACGACGCTTATTAAGAAACTCGGGGTACGTGAAGGGTCCCAGGGGCACACGGAGAAATACACACAGATCCCAGCATCGCCCGCAGATGATTCAATAGTTTCTGGGTTTTCGGTCTTCCTCCCCACCTCCCATATTTTCCCATACTTCCCCTACTTTCCTGGGAATCGACGATTCATTGTGCCTGTGTGTTTTTTCCGCTCGTGGATACGGCCGGACCGAAGACAGAAGAACATCCGTCACGAAGGTGAGACCCTCCGCTGGCCAAGCTGAAGAAGACCAGAGGGTGCCCTCCCCCAGGATGGAAAAGACCACCCAGCAAACACGAAGAACCTCAGGGCACTCTCCCCGAACCGACCTCGATCGCATACGCACCTCGGTCCGGCCATGAGACGAAGCCAGGACCAGGGCAAAACCGGGCTGGGATGAGTCGGGGATCTCTGAGACGCGGCGCTTCTGGAAGATGTCTCGGGCGCCGCAGCCGTTCCAGAGCTCTCCAGGAAACCACCCACGCCCGAAAGGGCCGGGTCGCTCCGGGGCGTCGTTTGAGGAGGCACAAATGGCCCCTGGGAGGCCCCAAGAGCGCTGCAGAGTCAGGTCCTGGGGCAGGGATGGTCGCTCCCGCTAGGCAGAGGCTTCGTGACTGGTGGCGCGCCAGCATTCCCATCGCAAGGCGGACGAAAGAACACTGGGGCATGGCCTTTCTCTGGGCGTGCTCCTCTGCCGGCTCGTGGCCAACCCAGGCACGCGCGGACTCAGCAAACAGGCCTTTTCTGCTACACCCTCTCCAGCCCAGGACACGACCCGTCCACTGCTCCAAAGCGACACGCCTGCCTACTACGCAAGCTTGGAACCTACACACTAAGGGCACACTGATGGAGAAAATCATGACGAGTACATAACAGTTCGCATGGCTGATCGAGTGCAGGTGATCTAGAGTTTCCTGCTGTAGTGCCATGTGGCACTGGCTCCTCCAGCTGACGTCGCCTCGCATACCATGGATTGGCCACTAATGCGATACTTCCTGGTGACAATCCGGTCCACCTCCAACCTGAGGACGTCACCTTCCCACGAGGGCACCAAGCACGATGGGCCCATGCTACCTTCGGTGACCTGCGGACGACCGTTCACTATGAATCTCTGCGTGAAGCCGTTGGTGCCAGCCGGCTTCATGACGAAATGCTCGTCCGCCTGCCCGATCGTAATCTGTGCGTGGCCGACGCCGTAGTTGGCCTCGGAAGCGGCGGCCCGCGTGGCGTGATCAATGCCAAGGTCTCGCAGGAAGTCGTCGACGTCGCCCGTGGCAGCGCGGCAGAGCCAGACCCCGTTGAAGTCGGGACGCGGACGTTCCCTGGGCCGTATCGGCATCAGAGAGCTCAGCCACGAGGCCTCGCTGCCGGCGTCGTCCTGGCAGCTCACGGCGTCCGACCTGGACGAGCCCAGGGCGCTCATGGCTTTCGCTTTGGGTGCCAAGGCGCTTGGTTGCTGCGGCTCGTGCAGCTCGTAGGTCTCGATGTCCCCGTCCCCACAAAGCTTGCTCGGGTCCACGTAGGACATGCAGGAGCGCCCATCCTCCACAAGCACGAAGTCACCAGAACACCAAATCCCACCAGCCCTCTGGGCGGAGGTGGTTTGGGGAGATCGTTCTGTTACCCCCCCCCTATTCCCCGTCGGCGAAGGGCCTACCACTGCCACTTTGCACCAATATCTGGATCATAGAAGAACGCCCTACGATCACGTTGCAGAGGTTTTTTTGGGGGGGGCCTGCATATTGCCTGCTGCGTGCAGGCCCACCATCCGATTCAACCAAGAATTCAGAGTTCCCTTTGCAAAGGGGCGGCGAAGGAGGGTGGCAGCACACGGCACGCTGCGTGCCGTGCAGGCCCACAATCCCTGACAGAAACAATTGCCGAGTGACTGCGCGGGAACACCCACACCAAATAGACGATGCTGGCAAAGCCGCCGTCACTTGCAATTGGTTTTGACGGGGATGGGGGGGGGGCGACGTGTGGCCCAACGTGGCGCCCGCGCACCTGGCGTGTGCGGCGACCCACGCGGGCTTCGCGCACCTGGCTGGCGTCCGCACGGGTTCCCGATGGTTGTCGATTGCGGCCCCTGCTTCTGCTGAGACCCCTGTGCTACTTATGTAGTGGGAGGGCGGGTGGGAGCGAAGGACACAGCTTGCGGCGCTCCCGCTGGGAAGGTAATCACTGCTACTTCCTAATGTACACCCCCTCCCCCACCCAACCGGCGACACGCTCGGGACAACGCGGGCACCCCAACGCAATTCCTGTCCGAAACCATGCGAAATGCACGTGCCCGCAAAATCTGGACCGTGCGCGGGCGCCGCATGACCACTTTTATCCACTTGTTCGACGATGAAGGCGGCAGTGCCCTCATCAACATGTCCGCTCGGCGCAGGCCCACCACTCCTCTCAGCACACGATGCAAAGTACACTGTGTGGCCAAATCTGATTCATGCGCGGGCGCCCCGCGTTCATTTTGCATCAGTGGTTGGCAGAGGGGGCCGCAGCGGGGGCCCTCATAGTGACTGTACGCCGTCCAGGCTGAAGACCCCCAGCAAAAACATGAAAAATGCACTTGCGGCAAAATCTGGATCATGCGCGCGCGCCCCACGATCACTCTGTACGGATTTTTGAAAAAAGGACAACCGGAGGGGGGGCGCTCGATCTGCTCATGAACTCGACATCGGGGCCCCAGGATCGGATGCCGCCAACATGTTGGGAGGGCGACTGGGAGTGCGCGACACGATCACTACTCCCTATTGACGAATTACCCACTCCTCGACGCGACCATCACACAACCTGAACCCATGCCACCCCCCCCCACCATCCTTATCAAATGCGCGGGCGCCCCGCGACCACTTGGCATTGGTTTTTGGGCAGGACGGTGGGGTGCCATCATTCTGTTCGCTGCGCGCAGACCAACCATCCTGTCAACAAACAAACGAATTACACGTCGTCTCCAAATCTGGAGCATGCGCGGCCGCCCCGCGATCATTGTGCTCTGGTTGTTGACAGGGACGGCATGTGACAATGTGGCCCCAATTCGCTTGATGCACGCAGGCCAGTCGAAAGCAACGTGGCAACGTCACGTGGTACGTCGCACGTAACTCCAGGTAGTGGCAGTGGACAGCATATAAAGTGTGAGAAGAAGGATGGCAATCCTTTTTCTGTTCAGATGGACCACCGGATTTCATGCGTTGACGTGCAGGGCGTGCACACCTGGAGTCGAAACAGCAGATGAGCTCGCGTCGCGCCCCCCCCCTCCCCGGAAGCCCCACTCAAAGTCGGGGAAGAAGGGACAGCGCTGCACCCTGCTGTCCTGCAGTAGCTCAAGGCGCAAGCAGGACAATCAGCGCGCCAGACAAAACGGCCCGCAAGGATTTCGCGACAGCAACCCCTGGAGACCCTGGGGGCTACCGAAGCCCGAACAGGAATGGGCCCACATGGACGCAATCCCCGAACATCGGGCGCGTTGGAAACCATCAGTCCTCGAGGCTGGGCGTCGGGAGTAACCTCCAGCGACGTCTCGCAGCCGCCATCTCTTATAACTGAAAGCGAAGAAGATCCATGCCCGTTCGCGAGCAATGGAGGGCGCCCATAGCAACAAGCGGCCGCAAAGACACAGGCGACCTAGAGACAGAAGATCGCCCAAAATACAAATCAACGCATGCCCTTGCCCAGTGCTGCACCTTCCAATCTTTCGGCTTCGCCTCTGGATGTCCCCTGACAGGGGCGAAGGAATCGACGCCGCGCCTGAGCGACAGGCGCCCCGACTTCCTCTCCAAGAGGAGGTCTCTAATAACACTTCCCTTGGTATGGACATCAGCAATAATTGCCCGCGCGCAACGCCACTGCTCGCGGCGCGCTATACCTGCGAGCACGAGCCCGCACATTCCACAAATGTGTCCGGGCAACGCGCCTCGGTTAGAATTTGAAGACCATCGCTAGAAGGCGGCATATATGCTGGATCCGCAACAATAGTTAGGGACAACACAATGGCCAGACCGCCTATCTCGCTCAAATCATGAGGCGCCATAGGTGATGATGGCCCGCCTTGCAAATCATGCAGCGCGAGGCGTGAAGGGCATGCCGCGTCGAGGTCGCGGGCCGCCGCTAGCGCGTCCGCGGCGCGGCTCGACCGCGCCCGAGGTCGATGACACCTGCATACGCCGTCTCGCACATGTGCCACGGATTCGCCTCTCGGCGAACTTCCTCGCCAGAGAAGACGCGCTCCTCGAATGCCTCAGCTTCTGGTCTGGTCGCCCTCTCCACAGCCCCATCACGGCTGCCAACCTCGCCTTGAATGTCCGCTTCGCCGAAGAGCGCGATCGGGGAGAAGTGATCCTCCTCGGGTCGCCGATGAATTCCTTCGCTGCTGCGCTCAAACGATCGACGCACATGCAGAGTCGCGGACACTAGGAACCTCTGGAAAGATACCTCATGTGCCATCGACCAGATCTGGACAGAGGGCATAAGCTAGAGCCCCCAGGAGGCAGACAAACATATCCAAGACAACCTTCGTCGCCTTGGCTTCCGCAGGCGCGCCGGCTAGATCGGGGCGAATGTTGGGCCGACCTCGCTTGCGTAGTCGTCGCGCTTCAAAACAACATCCCTTTTGCCGGTTCTGAGTATGCCGAGCGGCGCTGATCTGAAGGCATTTCTACGGAGCTGGCATTTACCAATCACGCGTTCAACCAGTCGGAAGTAGTCGTCTGCATTCCCGAGCCCCGTTGCGCAGATGAACCCACGCACTTGACGGCAATGAGATCGGGGCCAAATCAATCGAGGCACGAAACACGTTGGGTTTGTACCGGTTGTTCGCGAAGTGTCGCAGACATCTCAGACAGCGTGGACTGTCGTCGCAACTGGAGAGTGAAAGAATTGCACGCAGCACCGGCGCGCGCCCGACTGGATGGGCTAAGCGCGCATGGGGGCATGTCTCGCTGGTCGCTGCAGGTCAACCTCGCGCAGAACGCCGCGTCAACATCCGCGGGCGGCAAGATGCACTCTGGGCGACGGGCTGCATCGCTGGCGAGGTGCCGTTGTGATTGGCTGCGGGCGGCGCCAGAGAAAAACTGTAATGTCGAATGCCTCAGTATCCATGAAGCCCTTACGAATCGTAAACGAATGGGGCGCACTTGATCACCCTGTTCGCGTTCCACAAACTTCCATGTGCACGCGCCCCGCGATGGCAGGATGCTCGATGCCTCAGATAGATCGTCCCATCCTTTCAGTTCGGCGCGCAAAGCTTCACTTACTTTCTTCGGATTATTCGCAACGTCAGCCTTGGAAGGTAGGTCGCCTTTCTCGACCACAACTGCGCGCTGAGCGGCAGCCGATGCGCATGCGCGCATAGTTGCGGCATCGCCTTGCGAAGGCGTCCAGCTGCGCGAGCGTCAAGATGGTTTTCGACGCGTCGGCTGCATAGCACAATTCCACAGATGCACCACTTCCGTCTTCATCCAACGTACACTCCTCATTCAAGCCAGATGGACATCATGGGGAGTCATGCCAAGTTTCGACGCAGCAGGGAATTTCCTGCAGACCACCGCCCTTGTTCCTTACCATGGCCAGCGCATTTTCATCGGGGATCATTGTGGCGGGACCACGATAGATACCGTAGTCACAGACGGCGACTGGACAGAGGTCCCGGCGCAGCGCCTCGCACCAATACTCAAGTAGCTTGGCCTCGAGGTCGGGTGCCTCGCTTTCCTCGCGCATTGATGACAACCGACCGTCACTGTTGTCTGCTAGCGCTGGAATTCCGGGGTCGCGTCGGCGGTCAGACCCGCGTTGCTTCGATGGGTCAGCCAACTCTATCAATTTGGCCAGGTCCTCGTCGCAGTCCGCGGTTTGGTTCGAGAGCTGAACGCAGTGGGTCAGACGAGAGCGGGCACTGCCCGCGAGACTGATCACGCGCAGGCCGGAGCCATCAAATCCAGCACAATAGAACCGAGAATGTACAGGATTATCGCAGTGCGCAAAGCGTATCTGACTGGGCATAGCGTCGCAACACCTTAAGCAAGCCTCATCGCAATCTCCCTCTCAACGCGAGAGTTTCGGAGGAGATGATGCAAGGCCAGCTGCGCGCGCAAGATTAAGTTGATCCCCGCAGTCATCCTGGAGTTTCCTTTCGCGTCGGGAAGGCGTCTGGACGTCGCGGCACGCGCCCCTTCTCCTACAATTTCGTTGAAACAGACAACTGCCCGCATGGCAACGCCGTCAATGCCCGGCGCGCACGCGAAGAGAGCCCCCGAGCGCGGGGCGCGCGCGGCGTCTGCATATTGGGCGACTATCTCTCTGGGGCCAGCCACGACAACAGGCATTCCACGTTCAGGATCTTGTTGCAAGCGCAGGACGCGCCCCATTCCAGCCGCCAGAATCACCGTTCGCCGCCGCAGGTCTGCGATAGACCACGAGGCCCTCTGGCCCGTAAAGTCCCCCCCCGCCAGGGGACGCACGCGCGCGTAGCGCGATTTGTCTTCTCGGCAACTCCAGCTGCATTGCGGCCCCCAGGCTAATCTCGCGAATGCGTCGTTCACGCGCGAGTTCTCGCATGTCTCAGGGAACTCGGGCGCGCCCCTAGCGGGCAGATTGGCCAACTGCCTGCCGGCGCGCGCTCGACGCGGGGGCACGCCGCTGCGGAACGCAATAGCACTGCGCAAAGATAGCCCGGGCGAGAATGCACTCGACGACTAGGGGGGGGGGGGCGTTGTGGCACATCCGTTCCTCTTCGGCCACGCGCAGTATCGCTTGGGGCGCGCCGAGCCGCGCCTCGGCGGCGGTTGCGCGCCGTGGAAGCGCTCGGCTTCCAAGGGCGGCATCAGCTCTCCTGAGCTTATCTGCCACTGCGGCGCAAGGTCCGGGTGGCGTGTGCCAGCTGCAAGCGCAGCACCTGTGCTAGTAGAGCGCTCTTTTCCATGAAATTGTTCACCTGATCACAAACGGATGCAATGATCGATAATGCGCGCCATGATGTTGTTGGCCCCCCTGTTGGAAGCCAATCGCACCCACATTCCTGACTGCGCTGTTCTGGGGGGCTAACCGAGGGAAGAATTGATGCCCCAGGCTTGCCCGGGCTCGCCTGGAAGGCTCGCCTGGGAGGC